GACCATTTTGATAAGTTTTGTCGATAAGATCAAGCGAAGTGATTAAAAAATTGTAAGAAAATTATAAAGTTCGTACAGGATTTGTTTTGGGTCATTCGAAAGGAAAAGAAAAACTGAGTGCCGTTGACCAGTTGACTAGTTAGAAAGTGTTGAGGAATTCATTTTTGTCCCAACATTCAGATGTAGTAAAGAAAAAGGGGAAAGGAAGAAAAAGGAGGAGAGAGAAAGCATGAGGAAGAAGACAAAGGGCATTTATGTACTTTTAGATTTTAGTCTTTTCTCTTTATCAAATTCAAAATCAAATTTATTTAATTAATTTAATTTAGATATTGTCTAATTGAAAGTCCTCTTTTTTTTTGGGTGGAAGATTAATTGAAAGTCTAGACGACCAATAATTATAAGGGAAATCATTCAAAGTAAATTTTTTGTAGTATATTTTAGTATAATTTTATATATTATTTAATTGATTAATTTTTTTTATGTATTTAAAATATGTAATATTAAATTTATTTTTTTATTTAATAACATATAAAAATTATAAAAAATATTATATAAAAAATTATCTATATATTATTATCTATAATTTTAATTTGTTTGAGGACATGGTGTTTATGTGGTGCCAAACAAGCAGAATGTAAGGGCATGCGCAGATTTCCGTTAGTTCCACTGACTGAATTTTAATAGTGTAGACTAATTTGATATGTTTTTTAAAGTAAATAGACTACTTAAATATAAAAAATAATTGAGAATATTTTTGTAATTTAGTGATTATTTTATTTTGTAAAAGACTTTTTCTACTACATTTAGAGGCGCGTGGGATTTGAATTTTTTCGATGTTCAAAAAAAAATATAATAATTAATAAATAAAATAAATAAAAAATATATAATTAATAAACTATTTGTTAAATTAAGGTAAAGAAAAGCAACCAAGCATAAATCACGTTAGAAATATCATCAATAATCTCATAGATTTAGATGTCCATTGTCGAATTGCATCACCTCTTTAATTTAGAGAAAGCTACTCCAAATTCAGGAATTACCATTTCTTCTCATTCTTTATTATTTGTCTTATTTTCAATGGCCTTATTTCGTGGTCGGTTTCGTTGTCAGTTTCGTAGCTAGATGAGGTCAAATTAGCACAATGATTTTCTTTCTCCCGAATATACCTTCATAGTTCATAGTTTGGAATATTAAAATAATAGTAAATGAAACATAGTCAAAAGAAAAATTGATATGAATTGAACATAAAATAACTGAAGTTTATTAATAATTTACATTAATTGAATAATAATTTTTTATTAAAAGTAAAAAATTAAATTCAAATCAGGCGAATGAAGCAAGTAACCAAGGTCAAAAAAATTCATCCTAGTCCCCTCTCAACTGTTTACATTTTCCCGATACTCTCTCCCCTTTGGGTATGGTAAACCGAAAAGGCAAAATGGTTTTACATTTGTGCATGGGTGAAGCTGGTAAAAATTAAAAATAGTTGGTTATAAAATAAAATTAGTTGGATGGATAATTTTTAATATTAGAG